GCCTGGTAATGAGCTAATCATTTTATTCAGGTGTGTTGACCCAGGGTGAGATCTAAAACCTGCAGGACACCGGCCCTCGAGGCCTGGAGTCCGACACCCCTGGTTTAAGTGGTGGAGAGCCTGATGGTTTGAGGACTGGTCTGAATACTGATTCAGACTGCAGAGGTGGTTCCTGAAGCATAAGCTGCTGATTAAGGGGGAAACGGGAAGTGGGGAGGGGAATGATGATATGAAGGCATGTGGAGAAGAGGAAATTTAAGAGAGGAAGTTTGAATGAAGGGTGGAAAAAGACAAGCAGACGGACAGCTGAGAATGGAAAACAAGTAATGAGGAAGGAGTCAAAGATTGGGAGAATATGAACAAGCCAAGAAAGTTGGAGGCGCAGTTGACGGAAAAAGGGTGATGAGGAAAGAGGTGTAGCCAGGATTGCTGCGTTTAGATCACACAGGCCCTTTATGAATCTGCCTCAGACTGAGTAACACAATTGCAACACTTCAGACTGTCTTTCTGAGAAGTTACTAGAAACAACTTTTCAGCCAAGTTCGACGCTCAAAGCTGAAAACAGCCTCGATTCGCAGTGCTAAAATAAAGAAGGAGGCGAGAAATGCATGATGGGAGCAAGCGAGCATTTAATTTTTAATTTAGAGCTTTGCAAATGGATTTTCTGCTGTCTTTTAATCAAACAAAAACACCTAGTTGAGCTGGGAAAATGGTGGCTAAGCTGGAAATCCATTACATCTCAATAGTCAGGAATTATATGTTTAATTCTGCAGTTAATGCAAGAACCTCTTGATGCTATTTGGGTTATTTTTCCTGAGATTTCTATGCATCTGTTTTGTGCAACTGTGCAAAATACGTGCATGTAAATATAGTACACAAATTTATTTCAAAAGACATACTGAGATACCGTGAAAATCCCTCCACATCAGCACGTTTGACTGCTAATTTCAGCTTGTTTCTTTGGGAAGCATACCTAAATGTATGCTTTTATAAATAAAACATGTTCATTGTTTTCACTGATCAATAGGCATGTGAACTTTGGGGAAATATATTTATTTGCTTTCTTTCCGAGAGTTAGATAAGATCAATACCACGCTCATAATGTAAAGGTACTGCAAGCAGTGGGGCAAATCTGAGTTAGCAGTATCACTGAAAACAGCAGAAAACAGACACTCTAGTGATGTCAGGAAGAAAGCCTGTACCCTGTTCTTTTGCTTAAGGGTGTGGCGGGCTTTCCTCATCATTTATTTTCCACAGACTTCTCAGGAGAAGCCACTTGTTACTCAACACTTGCTGTGTGATAGGAATAATCAGAAGTCACTGGCCAGCAAATGGAATAGATAAATATACAGGCACATTTACATGCACGGCTTATTAGGATGCTCGCAATGTGTCCCTGTCACCCTCCCATTACTCGAAATGTATCTATTCTCCTGCAGCAGTGACAGCGCAACGACTCACAGTCTTGACTGACCGGGATCAATGCTCTAAGTGGAAATTACGATGCTGCTTCACGTCTCGCGCATTTTATGTATCACCGCTTTTACATTAACGATGGGATATCGTACCATACGCTCTTTTGAATTCTGTCCATCTCATCATCTCTCTGTCTTGTTGTTCATCACCCTAGTGGAACTGTCAGGGGGCATGGTTACTGAATCAACAATTGAACCTACTTACTGAATCACATGCATTGTGTACAGTTCATACTGTGTGAGTTTGTGTGTGTTGCTGATTTTTTGTGTGTGTGTGTGTGTGCATGTGTGTGTACCATTCCTGCCCTGCACTCTTTAGAAATTACGACTTAATGGCATGATGAATCAATCTGGATTAACAAAAACAATGCAAATGCAGCCAAGTGGAGCAGATGGGGCTCAGTGCAGTGCGCTGTTTCTGTAACTGTGCGGATCTGGAAGAGTCAGTTCATGTGACCTTGATTGCAGGAGGCAAACAACATCAGCAGCACGGACACCTCTGAAGCAACTCCAGCGCTTTTAAATGCGAAAGGTTTGCAGGTTTTGTTGTTTTACAACACTGAATCAAAGGGGATTTTTGTAACGCCGATCAGAATATGCCATGTGAGCCCTGCAGAACCTGTGAGCTCGAATGTATGCTGTAAATGACAAAAAGGTACTGGGAAAAAATGATGCAGTTGCACTACACCTGCAATTTTGTGGGGGATTTGTTATCCAGCAAGAAGGTGACACAGAGGAGAAACTTTAAGATGCACAGAAATGGCATAAAAACAGTTGAAATGGTCAAACTAGTAATCTATTCATATAGATGCATACTAACACTCATCAGTCTTCTCTGTACATTTTAACTAAAGCTGCATAAAAGGAGGTCACAGACAATATGTATTTATTATACCTTTATCCATCATTTGTATTGATTAATTGATATAAGATATGTAAATATTTGATCCTTATTGACCTTTTACTGCCGTCCAAAATTTCTAATCTGCTAATGCAGACAGTGTTTATTTTCATTTAATGTATTTGTTGGTGAAAAGCGGCTGCAGAGCCAATGCTTGTTATAAGCTAGTTATAAGCAATTTACTGTCAAGTAAGACAAAGACAAGTAGTAAATAATCAGTGTTTATAGAAATAGCTGATGATGATTTACATTTTGGTTTATATGTTTTATTCGCGGTAAAGATGCCCATAATTGCTAAACTATAAAAAGCAGAAAATTCAGCTTCAATCTGACGTGGCTGTTAGGCGATTTATAAACAGCCCCAAAAAGTCTTTCTATCTTTGCTTTTATTCCTGCCGGATTGCTCCTCTTGTGTGTTTCCGTTTCTGTCTTAATGAGGAATATGCTGTTTTTACCCACAGCCTGCACTATCAAAGTTCCATGTAGGTGTGTTCCAAGCAAAATTGCTGACATTTCGTCTCAGAGTCAGTGATGTGCCTTTAGGAGTTTCTTGATGTTTTAAGATGGGTGTTTACGATGTCACCAGGCACTCCTGGCACCTGTGAAACTGCTACCTCAGCCGTGCCTAAAAACAGATGCATTTTAACAGATGCATTCCACAGTCAGAATGTGGAAACACGAGGGGGCACAAAAAAAACAGAGCGCTGTAACCTCATCTCAAAGAGAACAGCATGTAAATTGCATAAATGAACCACATTTCAGTTCTACTCTCCCGAAAAAGAAAAAAAACGTCCTTTCCACTGTTTGGTCGTGCAAAGGTGGTCACGTTCTACCTTGGTGCAAAATTAACCCAAGTTAAAATGCCAGTCTCGGTCCTTGAAATCAATATCCATTAAGTTTTCATTTGATCTAATGGGACCGTGACTGAGAGTGAACAATGTGAAAATACAGAAGGAACATGAATGAGAAAATTAGGCCTCAGCTTGAAAGCGGGATGCTAAGTAAATCAAAGTGAAATCACATGGAGTCCAGCACTGAGCTCATACAGACACTGTGGTCTGTTATAGTGTGCGCATGCACTGACTTGACATGATGGCTACTTAGGAAGGGACTCTATATATGCTATATTTAGCCTGGAAAAACTGCAATAAAATAGGTAACGTCACAGTAATGTAATATGTAGGACAAATTACTCAGGTCACTGAATCTGATATTCATGAGAGGCAAGAAAGTCTGCAGATCTGGGGAAGTAATGTCACCTGTTTGACACAGAGCAGTTTCTGTCATTTTAATTAAAGGTCGTTTGGGAAAAGGCACATGGCTACACTTACATCAGGTAAAGGCGCTAAAAACAGAAGATGATTGGCTCTGATCCCAATATTTTTATTATTATCATTATCATCATCATTATTATTAATGTTACTTTTTCGTTGAAAGGGAACTTTTTTATGCAGTGCACGCAGCACGAAAGCTACTTACTCCGCTTTCCTGGCCAGACCCACTGAACGGCAGAGAGTGGTTGGAGTCTGCGGAACAAGCGACTTGCAGCAGGGGCTCCTCTTATCCTCCTCGGCGGAGTCGGGGCTGGCTTGGCTCGCTTTGGGCGACTGCGGCGAGGTGGGAACGAGCTGCAGCTGCTGTGGGTGGTGGGAAGACGGTGCAGGAGGAGTCGGGTGCTGCTGCTGCTGCTGCTGCTGAGGCTGGGCCGACAGACCGGTAATCTGCTGATGCTGATGCTGCTGGGGTGGTGGTGGCTGCTGCTGATGCACCTGCTGGCCGAGATGAGCCGCAGCTTTGTTGCTCCCCGGGTGTTGGTGAAGGTGGGCCGGCGCCTGGGGACTGGCGCTGCGGTGAGTCGGGTGGTGGTGGTGGTGGTGATGGTGGTGCTGAGAAGGCTGCTGGACGTAGTGATGGGGGTCCCGCAACTGTCGGTTCTCTCCGATCAGGTCCTCCACCTTCCGCTCGAGTTCGTCGATGCGCTGGCGCTGTGTTTGGATCAGGCTTTGCTGGTTCTGGACGATAGTGGTGAGCTCCTTCAGATAAAGAACGGCTTTCATTGGATTATCCAGCAGGCTCTCCATTACTGACTGTAGCTGTGGCAACGCGCCCGGCTATGTTGACTTCTCCTTTAGCTGGTTCTGGAGCGGTGATCGGTCGATGGGGCCTCTGAACAGTGCGTAACCGAGATGCTGTGGCGGCAGTCTGACGCCTCTACGCTCTGGTGAGGTTGAGTCTCTCTCTCGCTCTCTCCCTGTCTATCTCCCCACCCCCCTCTCTCTTTCTCTCTCTCAGTACTTTGCAAGGAAACCAGAAATGGTGCTGATGCAAGGGGGGATCAGCATCACCGGAGTCCGGAGGCGGGGCCGTAGTGGACCGGTGATGTCAACACGCAGGGCAAATAATCTAGCAGCTCTCACGTTAAACGTGAAAGCTGCTGCCCAAGCCACAGGCAACAGTCCAGTGTGTTTTTTTCTTGTTTGTTTTGTTTTTGTCTTGTTTCTTTCTCCCTTATTCTGTGTTTTCTACTCTCTCCTCACGTTTTCCTCCCTTTCTTTTCTTTTCTCTTCTCTTCTTTTCTCTTTCTCCTCAATGCCAACCAGCTGTTACAAATGGCTACACCTCCCTGAAAAGGGAGTTTTTCCTCCGTACTTTCACAAAGTGGTTGCTCTAAGGGAGAAATTGCTTGGTTATTGGGGTTTTCTCCAGAAATAGGGTCTTACCTTGCAGTATAAAGTGCCTTTATATTATATATAAGCAAACTGAACTGAACTGAAATAATACTGAACGTTAAGACAACCCTTCACACTCATGCCCACACCTGACATCTGTTTCATAATGACGTACATGTCTTTGGGCTGTAGGAGGACAGCAGAGCACCCAGAGAAGAAAAAAAAACAAGCAGGCACGGAGGGAAAATGCAAACTCCACACAGAAAGGCCCCAGCCAACCAGAAGGTTTGAACTCAGAATCTTCTTGCTAGAAAATAACAATGGTAAACACTGCGCAATTATGCTACCCAGAAATTAAACATAGATCTTCAATTTAAACCAATTAGTGTCTTCCATTTCAGCTCTATTTTGAAAATTGAGCCTTTTCTTTCCATGAGAGATTGCAAAAATGTTACTTATGCCCTTGTTTCCTCTCGCTTGGACTACTGCAATTCACTTTATGCTGGTCTCAGTCAGTCCGCTCTGTCCCCTCTCCAACTTGTCTGAAATGCTGCTGCTGGGCTCCTCACAGGCACCTGAAAAAGAGATTATATTACATCTGTTTTACCTTCTCCCCACTGGTTGCTAGTGAGCTTTAGAAACAGTTTCAAGATCTTCCTGTTTGTCTACAAAGCCCTTCGTGGTATCATTTCTTCCTCCATTTCTGATCTTTGAAATCAGGTAATATTTCATCATAATAAAAGCTGGGAGTTGCTGGATGTTTCGACGTCAGCATTTGAATTAGATGCAATTCCCTGCTCACCATATGAAT